CCCCCCCCCCCCGCTCGACCCTTCCTCCACCCACAAGCCGCAGAGAGTAAGTCTAATACAATAATCAAAACCAAGGACAAACGTTATTCATAATTCTAAATAGTGCAGGGAAGGAAAAAGGGAATCATTAAGCGAGGGAACAAAAAAACAATAACACTTCTCTCCAGTGTTATTACCCTTGCAATCTAAATCCTGCTATTAACTGCCTCCTAAATGTCTTCTCCATTAAAAGCACCCTGACATACTGATGCTATAACATCGAATATTCTGACTACTATGACACCTGTACCTCATCCAATTATAAAAAACACGTGGCTGTAAAACAAGGGTCAACGTAAAGCTCTGAGGATATGGGGCGGATTGGTGTCGGCAGGAATGGACAACAAACCCTAGTGTGCTAGAGAAAGGGAAGAGAAAGAGAGTTAGAGATAGTGAGGGAGGAGTGCGTGGCTGGAGCCAGGCAGAACTAGTGCGTTATCAGAGAGCCGGTGCAGTGCTGTCTCCTGCTACATAAACACATCTCTGTAACAGCCAGTGCTAAGACCTGCTCATGCAAAAAAAAAGAAAAAAAGAAAGTGCATCCCATGAACACCTTCCGTGGGTTTAAACAGTGTATGGGCCGAACTGTCTTCCAATACAATCACACATGTATTCTTCTCCCCTTTTCTCTGTTTATAGCAAGCCTACCTTTCCTTTGAACGTGTTTTCAAACATTATAGAAATGTATCTCACTTGAATACATAGGATTGTATGTATAATTTCCATTCCAGGATCTAAATAACAAAATATAGCTGCCATAATGTGCATCACACTCATATAACAGTCCTTCTGAGGAGAAAGAGTGACTTTTTCGGCCATATTCTGGCACGTGGACCACATAATAGGACTATTCCCTGTCTTAATTTGATGGAAACATATTTGAAAGAGAGTCAGGCTTCTTACCTTTAATTTCTCCTAACAGATCGTCTGTGTTAAGTCGCTCCATCTTCTCTTTCCAGTCTTTAGAAAGGAGTTTATCCATGCAGGAGGATTCTGAAACACAGGTGACATCTTAGAATTAAACTGAATGCATATACAAAGAGAAAAAAAATCCAGACTTAGTGGCATAGTAGATTTAGTGTCAAACCGTCACATTATGGACATACTTACAGTATAAATACCGATTCAATTTATAAAGTACTGCTTTATTTTAAAAATGCTATCTAAAATGCACATTAGCTATAAAAAGAGAATTATCACAAACATAGTTTGAGTGAAACCCCATAACACAGACGACTGCAGTAAAGAGGCTTTCATACAACAGTGTGCATTGAAATCCTCTGTATCTCTGAAATCCATAGCTTTGAGTATGACCCACAAACCTTGAGCAACAAAACAATTTGTGCTCATAGAGAAAAGAGGCCGCGAAGACAAAGAAAAAAGGGGAAAATCCTTCCCATTTAAAAGACTGGAAGTGTTGAGCAAACAGAAATAAATAAATTCCGCCTGCTTTTCAGGAAAGTGAATGTTACACATCTGTCTTTCAACAGCCACATTAAACAGTAAAATGTGTGTTTGAACGGCTGGACCATGGTAATAAAGTGAAATTCTATTGAGATCAGTAGCTGAGTGCATTACAGAAGAAAAGTGTGTCAGCTTAGTTCATTAAGAGTATAAGGGGTGATGTCTAAAGTTCATAAAATTGTTTCAATTTCTAAAAGAATAAACACAGTGGGGTTTGTAACTGAATGAAATGCTCTAATGCAATATTCCAAGTTAGGTCAACTACATTCAGTGGAAGTGTCAAGGTGAATCTGTTTCTACCTACAAGTGTGAAAACATCTTCTTTATGAAAGATACTAGTTGATTGTTTTATATTAAAAGGTCAGGTATGGTGTTTCTTAATTTCTCAATCATGCACATACAGCGAAAAACACAAAGACGAACACACATATATGTGGATAATGTGAGACGTGACCCCTGGACTGTTGAAGGTCAACTGGAGTCAACTGGAGAGGCTGAAACAGTGATAAGAATGATACGCCGCAAAAAGAAAGACAATAAAGGGGAAGGTAGATGGGGTGAGATGGGCCCGCTTGACTGGCCCCGCACAGCCGGCAATGATGAAAACAATTAACATTTGTCTGGTAGACAATGAATCAGGAGGAGGAATGGCTGGAATCTGCAGAGCTGTGGCCCCGAGGTTGTTGATAAAGAACACACTGCTCAACAGCAAGAGCTTGAAGCTCGCAGCCTGGGTCAGTCTGCACAAACACACTCAAACACACATGCACACGGGACGGAGAAACATCCAATCAAATCCAGTGGACAGAAAGAAGAGGAATCGTGTGAAGTGTACAAAAGGCAAAGTTTAAAGTGAGACAGTATATTAATACATCAAGATCAGATCTCTACCTTCTCCAAGCTGAGGAGCTCTTTTTACAGGCCGTAACCTCTGAGCAGAGGGGCTGTGGGTCTCATGTTGCCATTTGATGACATCATGGACAGGAAGCGTAGTGTTTGTTCCCTGTGTGAAAGGCTAAAGGGCACGGGGCTAAAGCAGACATTCTTGCATGCTGCTGGCAGCCCTCCGGCACCGTAAGCCGTACTTAAACCGCTCGTGAAAACAATGGATCATTTGTGAACACACTTTGCCAAACAAAAGGGCACAATTCATGAGAATGGGAATGACTTTGGCTATTCTGTTCTGCGTGCTTTGTGTCTGCGTGCATTGTAGTCATACAGTATCTTGAGGTACTCCAGCACATAGAACATTCCCAGTGAGTGATATCATCACACTCATGAATATGGTGCGATGTGATCTTCATCTCATGCCATAAAATTTGTTGTTCACATATGTATGGAAGCACTTTTTTGAAGCAATGTAAAAAAGTCTTTACTGTCATCCTGTTAAATAAATGCAATTTCTTAAAAAACAAATAAATAAATTGCACTGACCCCAAACTTTTAAATGGTAATGTATAAAGTTTAAATTGGAAGAATAGGTTTTAATTACCAAACATAAAATGTCAATAACAACAACAAAAATAAATAATAATAAAAAATAAAATAATAATAATAATAATAATAATAATAAACTAGAACATCTACGCACAGGAACAGCTTCTTCCCACAGGCCATTTCCCTACTGAACTATTAAATGACTCCCAAGGCCCCCCTCAGTGCAATATTCCCACTGTTTACATCTTCATACATTTATATATTTTTATTCTTTAATTTTATTATTATTTGTCTTGTTGTTGTGTTCATATATATATATATATATATATATATATACAGCTTGCAGAGAGTCTAAGGTGACGGCCGCTGCTTTAATACAGTACAAGGTCACATCAAGCAGAGATCAAATTTTCTTTGATTCTTCATTTCCTCCAATTCAGAGGGAACGACAGGACACCTCCATTTGGGTCATTCTAACATAATTTTAGTTTACTGACTTTCCCAATCCAGGACTCACAGTTTGTTTCCTTGACCTTGTGACATGTTTCAACCCTGTGTTTTATGTGTGTGTGATTGAGGTCCCTCCTCTCCTCAGATGATAACCACATACACACAGCACACATCCCAGCGCATATATATATATATATATACTGTATATGTATAACAAATAGCAGTACATTCTTTCCTCCAGGCTGAAAAAAAAAAGTTGGAAACAGAGAAACTTCGTTTTATGGCACAGGGCCGGGGTGGACCTGTCCTGGGGGGTTAAAAAGGTTTTAGGGAAGACTTTTCCCATATTCTTCCTCTGCATCTTACACACACACACACACACACACACACACACATGCACACCACCACACAGAGCAGTGCACAGATGCTTCTCCAGCACTTGATCATTAAGGAATGCACCAACTGTTGGAGATAATGCGGTGCCAGCTCCCATTCTGCTCCACTCTGCCTCCCTTGAGAGTGGCCGCTCCCTCACTCCTACACACACACACACACACAGTACAGCTGGAATGTGCCGAAACTGTCCTCCACACACTTTTACCTGAGAGAGGTGAGGAATGTCCAGCATTCGTGGATAACGGACACAGAAAACAACCTGTCCACTATGGTTTGAGATTATATGGCTCTTCCTGCGTTTTCATGCGAGGATACTTTAGGCAAACAAGTGGTTAACAAGACAGACATCTGGGTTTTTTCAAAGTACCCTTATAAAGCTAGAACATTTGAAAGGAATTTAGATTAATAATAAGGGGATATTTTTTGCACTATTTCCCAAGTTGCATTCCATCTCCTCCAGAGAGAGCACTAATGCCAATGGAAACACTGCTTAACATCTGGATAATACTTAAACGTCATACTAACATATTACCAATGTAAAGAAACAAAAGTGGACCATTCATTTTGAAAAATCAAACAAAGCTTCAGCCACATCCATTCATCTCTCAGCGCTGCTGCTACTTAAAATGAGAAACAGCGTAACCATTGAACAAGGTACATTTCCTTCCCACATTTGCATTTGGATTTCAAGATACAAAGAGTTCAGAGACAGTCTGACATTTATAGACTCTGAAAACTGAGGAGGAAGCGTGGAAAAGACTTGTACTTGTCTGGAAAGGCCTGTCAGAGGCCTAGAATGAGCAGATAAATAAAGCAAGCACTGACTTTACTGTCGTTATCCCACGAGGGCCCCAAAAATCTACTCATGCTCTCTTCTCCTCCGCTCGGATAAAGCGTGGCGTGGCTCGAGGGAAACCAATTCATCCCAAATGAGATTGGAATGAAAACAATAGCCCTTATCTGTATCCTTTTCGCATTTTCCCAAGGTTCCTCCATCTCAACAGAGAGCTTAGCCCCTGCCACACCGGACCCCTTGCCCGTCCCACTGATGTGGAATAGCACGGGCACTGAGGAGAGGGCTTGGACGACGACCCACTGATCTAAAACCTCCTGGGAACTAATTCTAAAAGACGAGAAGAAAAGACAATGAAGAGAGAGAAACAGAAAGACTTGTGTCTCAAAGTGGGTGTTGACTTAATGTCACCCATCTGCACACTCGGGAGACCCTCCCTGTCAAAACACCAGGATTAGAAGGAAGCACATTCGGGCAGAAAAAAAATAGCATGTCACATGTTTTCTGGCCTGATAAAGCTAAAGCCCCTATAGTTTAAAGTCGGAGAGACTTACTGATCTCAGTGCAGGAACGGGCATATGAAGTGATATAACTACCTTCCAGTGTCTCCTTGACATACTAATGGTTGATCTACACCTGGCCCCTGCGTATTTAAGCACTCATCTACAATCTGATCTTGACAAATCGGTTTGCTGCCATAGATATCTTGCTCTTCTTCACAAAGCAGCTCAATTAAGACACTTACAGCAAAGATCCACAGACAAGATTACACCAATGGTCTTAAACAGATGAAAAGGAAGAGCAGCAGTGCTCATAAATCTCAGCAAAGATTCAGGAATTGTGTTGAGTGTAAATAGTTTTTATCACCAGATGGAACACAGAGCCAAAAACTGTATGTCTAACAGAAACCATAACAGTGGAACAGTAAAACACAGGTAGCATTTGGCTCTTACCTGCATTACTATATATATATATATTTAATTATACAATACTATATTACTTCTTTCCAAAACATTTTAAAAATCTTATCGACCCAAACATTTGAATGGTAGTATATATTATATAATATTGTATTATTTAAATGAAATTATTTTAAAATAAAATATAATACATTAATACATGCTTGCTGCTCACATCAACATTTTACTTTGTAATTTGTCATACAATTATACAAAGTAATAAACGCTGGAATAATGTACATAGAAGGGGGAAAAAATCATGTTGACTTTAAAGTATAGAAAGATCACCTTCATTTCTCTAGTCCAGCTGCCTCAAACATTCAAGCTAAATGAATGTAATGTAGTTATGTAGAAACCTACTTCAGTCACTGTCATTAATGACCTCCATGGCTGTGTATGTGAGATGGAGCTGTGTCATGCCCCTAAAGATGCAGTTGTGCTGAGCAGAGGGTGTACCCCCATCCCGACGAGTCCTGCCCTGTGGCAGAGAGCCAGAACATCTGCCAGCACCCCCAGGTCTCACACTGCCACTGTAATCCCCACCACAGGAAGCTGCTCTTCCCCCAATCAATCCTAACACTTGAGAAATAAGAGAGAGAGAGAGAGAGAGAGAGAGAGAGAGAGACTCTCTCCTGAAACACTCCTCTTCACAGTACACACATCATTACAGCTGTCCTCAGTCAACTGCACTATTGTCCCTGTGCTGTCTATTGTCAATTGTCCACCGAATACTGCATCCTTAATCTGACTTTCAATGAAGTGTAGCTACAGTACATTATGCTTCTTCCTCTCAATAAACCTAAAAAAACATCACTACTGTGCTCAAAATCTCTTCTGAGAGAAAGGAGACAAACCTCCCCCCTTCAGTCCAGCAGATGAGCGGCCCGCTCCTCGGGGAAAACTGGGAATTACCAAATCGATGATCAACTGACAATGACGATATAAATTTCCCAGGCTTTCTTCTGAATGCACCCTCTAATGATGGAGAAAGGCGAGGAACCATTCCCAGTCCGAACAGAAAGAGAGAGAGAAAGAAAGAGGAAGAAGGCCCAAGCGAGGAAGAGGTATTATGGCTCCACTTGAAGCCACCCAGGTTGAAGGGCGCTCTCACTGGAAGTGTCCCAGTTTGGTTAATAATTATCCCCTAAGCACTTTCATTTCTAAAAATGTTATGAGAGAAAAGGCTTGAACGAAAAAGAGAAGTAGTCAAGCAGTCAAGGTCTAGAGAATATTGAGAGTTTTGAGCAATTTAGAGGGGAAAACAAGTTATTCCAGGCATTCTCCTTGGCTCCCGCTGGAAAAACACTGTCCCCCCTCTAAAATCACATTTCAAGGCTTCTCTGCACTGGATTTGTTTCTTACAATAGAGATGCTGCAGTCAATAGAAAACCAAAAACGCACTCTCTCTTCCTATTTCCTTCCATTTCCTTAGAAAAACAAACTGGAGTCACAAGCTATGCACACACACACACACACACACACACACGTGAACGCAAGCGTGCACAGAACACTGAGGGAAAATCTTCTGAATGTCTTAATCACTGAGCCACTAAAACAAGACTGCATCATCACACAAAATAAGAGTATAATAATTACAAGAGGCAGACAGGAAAGTGAAACGGCATAAGAAAACATGTTTTGTCGTTCCCGTCGTTAGTTCCAGAGACAACAGCTGTTAGCTGGGGCGGTGGCAGCGAATGCTTCTGAAGTCTCCATAATCATGCCGTTATTGAAGTGAGGACAAAAAGGGCACTAATTGCAAGGGAGCAATCTAAACGTAATAGGTTATACACCCAGGCGACGGTGCACAATGCTAACAGCTAAAAAGAAGAGTCGGGTTGAAAAAAAAACAAAATTCACGACAGAGAGAAAACACGCACGCACACGCGCACAACACTGTATAACAGTAGCATTTCCCTCATTTTCTGCCAATTATCTTCTTTCCCTGTCAACAGTTTTAATAACCTCGATCATTTCCACAAGCCCCTATTTTCTTTTTTGCATGTTTTTTTTGATTCGGTTAAATAATTTCTGTTCTTTAATATGCAAATGCACCCATTGGCATGCATGTGTGAAGAGGCTTCAGCTTCTTGAGATGTGTCAGTATATTGTCGAGCACCTGCACCTCGGGGAAGGCTTGATTTAATTGACACCTAATACTATTCATTATTCCACTTAGTGAGCATCTCTGCTAGTCACCTGTAGGCTGCTCAAACACCACTCTGCCATTTCCTCCTGTCGACAGCTGCTGTAAATAGACTGACTAACCTTAGAAAGTATTTTATTTCCTTTTAGTATTATTAGTTATTTACTACTTCTACTAATACTAATAATATCAAAAACAACAACAGCAACAATAACACCAATACTACCAATAATGATAATGATAAATATTAATGATGAATATAGCAATTTTAAAATGTTATAATTGCATACTATTATAACATACATTATAACATAAATATTATTAAAATATAAAAAATAGTGCACGGCTGTAGTGTCATTGTCTTTATTTGGCAGATCTGAGGTGCTAATCTCAGCGCTGACCCCATCGTCCTGGCAATCGTGCGATTCCTGACCTGTCTAAACAGGACACATGTCTATCAAGCACATATGAATTAACCACTCCCTAGAGGCTTCACCTCTTGAGCAGGGCAGCACACGACCTCTTCTTCAATCCATTTTACTGCAGGACTCGGCACTAATCAGGGTTGAATTATTAAAGTGAGCAGCCACCGATGATCAATTCACGCTGGCCAGGCCTTCCACGACAGGGTACTTCTTCAGCACTAATGACACAAGAGAAATTCCATTGGACAACGAAAGACATACAGGGAAATAAATCATACTGATTAGTAATGTGAATGGGAGAGATAAAGTTGAAATATGTGAAATAGTAGAAATAAAGAGTTCAAGTTCAATCAAAGCTGTGGATAAAAAACAATTTTCATGGCATGTTTGCTCTGGGAAGACACTCTGCCAGAAACCTTCACCCTTAGAAGGAAAGGGATTCTGGGCACCAAACACAAGAAGAAAACTAAATAATAAATGTTGGTGAAGACAGCAAGACACTAGCATAGGGTCAGAATCTTCTGAAGGCAAGCCGCTGTAGTGTCATTGTCTTTATTTGGCAGATCTGAGGTGCTAATCTCAGCGCTGACCCCATCATCCTGGCAATCGTGCGATTCCTGACCTGTCTAAACAGGACACATGTCTATCAAGCACATATGAATTAACCACTCCCTAGAGGCTTCACCTCTTGAGCAGGGCAGCACACGACCTCTTCTTCAATCCATTTTACTGCAGGACTCGGCACTAATCAGGGTTGAATTATTAAAGTGAGCAGCCACCGATGATCAATTCACGCTGGCCAGGCCTTCCACAACAGGGTACTTCTTCAGCACTAATGACACAAGAGAAATTCCATTGGACAACGAAAGACATACAGGGAAATAAATCATACTGATTAGTAATGTGAATGGGAGCGATAAAGTTGAAATATGTGAAATAGTAGAAATAAAGAGTTCAAGTTCAATCAAAGCTGTGGATAAAAAACAATTTTCATGGCATGTTTGCTCTGGGAAGACACTCTGCCAGGAACCTTCACCCTTAGAAGGAAAGGGATTCTGGGCACCAAACACAAGAAGAAAACTGAATAATAAATGTTGGTGAAGACAGCAAGACACTAGCATAGGGTCAGAATCTTCTGAAGGCAAGCCACCCAAATGAAGACTTGGGCAGGCGATTAAAACACACCCCTGGAGCCTCAGGAGGAGGAGAATGAGACAAAATTAAAGCAAAGTTGAAAGAGAGATTTCTAGAGAGAGTACAACTCAAGGATCCTACTGATTGAGAAGAGGAGGGAGATATTAGGAGGGAGGAAAGGGCG